GATGATGATGGCTCAGTTTTGCACAAGCTTTCGTCAGTGTCTGGTTGGTGAAAGTCAGGAACTGGTCGGTTTTCTCCCTGTCATCCCCGTCAATGTGATGAGCTCCATCTTCATCCATTCCACCAACCCTTGGCACATGAGTGAGCACACTCCATAAATAGCCACTTGCATGAGCACTGATGCAGCTAGTTCTGTCATGCATTCTCATCGTCCACCATGGCCTTGAATTGTGGTGTAGATGCATCCAGTGGCTGGAACATGCCATAGTTTATGACACTTGCCATTTTAAGTGGGGCAGGTGCAATTAATTTGGTTTGAATTGGTTTGGAGTTAGAGCCTTGGTTATTAAACAGGGTAAATAGGAACCACCTAACTCGAACCACCAAACCACCGGGCTCCAAACCACCAGTCAGAGGGAAGCTGAAGGATCACGGGCCTTAAGCAACCCCAATAGAGGTCCTCACCACAGTAAGGGGGAGTCCTGGACAAAATTGTTTGGGTGTTCAATCCACTTGGCAAGTAGGTTGTAGCCATGGTGATAGGGGACGAAACCCAGTTGCCCCACTAGCATCAGTAGGTCGTAGCCAGCTTACCTAGTCGGTTGAACATCCAAGTGCTTCAAGTGGGGTTTGGGCATTGCAAATGTTGGAGGGTGCCGGCGCAGATGAACTCAGATGAACACGGCGCCCGCAACAAGAACATGTTGGGTGCCGCCTGGTTCAGAGGAACTGGGGCTCGGACCCTGTTTGGGTTCCTTCCCTTTATTTGCGGGTCTTTTGACTGATAAAAAGAGAGCCAGGACCCCCCTGTGAAAGACCGAGCCAAGAAAACAGTCTTTCTGTGGCTTGCGTATTTGCTTGTTGGACATCTTTTCATGGTGATTTTGCCCAAACCAACGAGACAAGTTTTGGGTTGAAGGGCGAGGCACCACAATTAAAGTTAAACCATTGTGATCATGTCTTTTCGGCGTGGGAAAAAAAGCCTTTAAAGCCAACATTTAGCTCGGTGAGCATGTCTCAGGTGAAGCCCCAGACACCCAAAACGGCGGTTTTTCAAATGCAACAAGGCTACTAAGTCATCCCTCGAACGGACGCTGGTGACTTTGTTTGGTGCTTGCATGCCGGAAGAACTTCGCTGAGGGGTGCCCATTTGCTGCATCTGTGCCTTCTTGGTGATTTCGGCTACTACTACATCAAGGCCTGGACGGTTTGCATACGACGACCAACAAGGAGGTGTCTACTACAAAAAACTTGTTCTTTTGAAAGTAAAACCCAAGCAAGAACTAGGTGTCTGGAGTAGGGGCTGGGTTTCAGAATTAGGATTCATCTCGTGCCTTGTTTAACTGTTTAGAGAAAGCGGAATCCTCATGGGGTTGGCAGGGTCGTTTTTGGTTTTTCTGCCCTTCAGTTGACCAAAAAGGAAGTATGGGTGTGTATTTTTGGTGGGAACCCTCTTTTGGTTGGTTTGAAGGGGGCCATTTTGGGAACCTTCCAAAAGACACACCCGTATTTGCGATATACGATGAGTATGATGGAACCCATGGAAAGAAATCGCACTTTCGGCAGGCCGTGATGCAGCAGGGGTTGGACTTCAAGATCGAGTTGCCCTGCGCTGACATGGTTTGACTTCGTGAGGTGGGCAGACGAAAGCATGGAGAAATGTTTGGGTTCTCCAAACAGGTTCCACGAAACCGTTCCCCTAAAGTATTCAGTGTTCGCGGAGGGGTTCCACGAATCCACATATTTCGGGTGACGGGCCAGGGCTCCGCGGAGTTCGCGCGGAGTGGTACTAGTGTACGGGTACCCCTGCGTGTTTGCTCGAATGATTGCCAAACATATTTGCTCGTGTGTGTGGGTGTGTGTGCCGGAAGCTGACAAGTTGTTGGAAGAAGTCTCTGTTGAAAGGGCCTTTAGTCATCGATTTGGATGAGATTGTTTTCGTGTAGATTTTGAATGAAACAGCTTTAGCCCACTGCAAATATGTATGTGTATGTATATATATATATATATATATGCATATACATGCATATCATTGGGGGATATGTTGATTTGAATCAGGCTGGATTGACCCACGGAAAATGAAGAGATGAACCTCCAAGGACAGCCAATCAAGGGCTGATTTTGGGGCTACATAGCCCCCTCTCAGTAGTCAGTCTGGTTGGTTGATGAAAGCAGGTTGGTTTGGGTTAGGCTCAACCTATGAAAATGGGATAAAGAGACCAAAGCGGGCTAGATGTATTCCTCTGATGCGAACCAGGACTTTACCATGGATTGGAAGGAACAAGAACAACTTCAGACTCTAGATTCAAGAGCGAGCGGATTCCAGTTGCCACAGGATCATGTGTCCGCATTGGATTTCCTCCTCCATTCGTTGAAACCATTCAACGGAATTTTGGTATTTTCACAAGGATGTTTCTCGAAGGACGAACGTCCCGTTCCACCAAGGACGCGTCCCTGGGTACCTGGGGCTGTATCTTTGTATATGCCTTTTTTTGCCTGCCACATTGCAGGCTTTTGCGCAACATTATATACTATGTATGTATGTAGTATTTATGACATTGCATTACATATACACGTATTACATATTATGGTAGGTAGCACTGCCCTCAACCCATGGCCCCTCGCACAACATTGGCCCACTGGGCCAAGAGCTTCCTATGTATGCAAGGCGCTTAAACTGGGACAAGGAGTTGGTGAATTGTTTTTGGACGCCAAAATGGAAGCTCTGGTTTCATCCCATACCCCTGGAAGGCCCGGAAGATGCCCGTGGCTTGCCGCAAGCCACGAGCGGAACAACTTGACGGACGCAAACTCCATGCGGTGCCGAAAAAGGCTCCGAGCCATGCGATGCTTCCTGAGCGCGTTTCATTTTTTCCCTTTTTCTCTCATCCTTTTCAGCCAGTTTTAAAGGGTAGCTAAAAGGAAACCTCCATTTGACAACCCCCCCAGAACATAGATCATGTCCCTACCAGCGAGGAACCACCCTGATCAGAACGGTCCTTCATTCAGTTTTGACAATTGAGGTTCCCGGTGCTGTGGGCTGCGGCTCAACGAGCTGCAAGACTGGTGGGTCGTTTCTATGCCTTGCTGCTTGTTCCGGTTTGAGTTTGGTTATCGGACTCTCTCTGGGCTTTGTTGAAAATAGGTCCGCTGGTTTCAGTTGTGTGTAAGCATTTGCAAGTGCCATTTGTTGCAAAGGGACGCCCAGGCCTCTGACACTTTGATATCTGCAGCCAGACTTCGGCTCAAAGCAAGCAATATAATTTAGGTGAAGCTTCCCCCTACTTCAAATAGTACCTGAAAGCCTGCAACTTGGCTTTTGGCTTTTGAGACCCTTGTTTAAAGTCCCTGTCCGATGTTCGGACTTCTGAGTGGCTTCTCAACATATTCCTCCAACAAAGAAGCAAAGCACATGTGTTTCCTTTTTGTTTCCTATAGATTTGCATTTAACCATCATTGATTTGTAAGGATTGCAACAAAAGGTGCCTGCTGGTTTCCAAGTTGGTTTTCCCATGATTGGCTCACCCAAACTCAAGGACATTTCTGGCATGGGTTTTGGAGGTTGGATGCGGAAACATACCGCCTATGCAAGCCCCTATGTTGGTTAGTACAACCTCACCTCCAAAACTTGACCAACGGCCCCCCAAGAGCACCTTGTCGCACTACGGCGGTCGGCGGCGTTTTGCCTTTTCGTTTGCGATGAGCAAGCGCCCGGTGGCGGATCCCGAGGGCCCGGTGCTCGAGCTCTTGCGCGTCTTGGCGCGGGAAAACACATGCGGGGGCGTCTTAAAGTTTCTCTGGGATTCAGATACCACAGTTAACACAACGGTTGGGTCTATACGACCACCAACCATTGCCGTTTTGACTCATTTCAGGCGAGTTTGTAAGGGGTGTGGGGACAATAATATTAGGTACCTAGATTGGGAGTAAGGCCTACATGGCTATATTTTTTCTGTGAGGAATGCCCTCTCAAATGGTTGGTGGACATATGTCCCCACCTAAGTGATGTCCACCGGAGGGTCCCGTTCGGACAAAATTCACGGATGGGAGCCATGGGAGCCATGGGAGCCCTGGGTTTTTGGGGTGGAACCAAAAGTCTCAAGCATACGTGTCCTTCTTGGTTGGTTAGATGGGGTTTATTCCATTTAAGGGCCGTCTATTTTTCCAAAAGGCCACCTATGGTCTCAAGGCTTCGATCGCCGAGGTAGCTTCAAGATCGGCAACTTCACTGGCTACTATGAAGGCCCCGCGCTCAACATGTGGGGCCTGAGGGACCTAGGGGCATGTGGTTGGGCGCTTGAATCTGGGCAATCTGTTATATTGGAAATGAAGGAAAAAAAGCTATACTTAAGATCCTTGGTGGCAAACATGTACTAAACTTTCAGGGGTGAACATGTTGCTAAGCCTATGATGGACATTTGGAATACGTTCTCAACAATGCTGAGCGCAAATTCAACAGCATCAACTGTTTGCCCATCATTGACTACCGAGACACTTGCCATTACTTGGCCTAGATCTAATATATTTTCTCGTCAGAAAGAAGCTAAGTTTATTTCATCTCCCTGTTTGTCAATAATACGATATGTATCTAGAGTTTCACCTAAACAACATCCCTCAACTTGTTGTTGTGGCTCGAGTGCTTTCTTCACCAATGTGGATTCAAGCACTTGATTCGTCAGCCCAATATGTTAATTACACTGTTTTCAGTCTATCACCTCCAAACAATTGGGGTCGTTTCAACTCAGAACTTGGAACCACGGAAAAATTGATTGGCTTGCGCAACTCCATATGAAAGTTAAGCAATGCTAATGTCTGTTGTTGCTTTACTAATATCATCATTATCATTATCATTGTTATAATTGCTAGCTTCATTTGTGTGTTAATATATGTTTAATAGTCATTATGGTTATCATCATTATTAGTCTCGGTGTTTCTTGAGTTTTATCAGTATTAACTATTTGGATTTACTAGTAATTAGTATTGTTGTTGCTATTGTTGTCATTGTGTTAATTATGTATAAGCTATCTTGAAACTCATACTGCACATATATATATATGTACATACATATATAACGATAGGTTCAGAATGGGTTATAGGTCGATACGAGTTCTATTTGCTCAACATCCCCACCTAGTGATGTCTGTACCGCGACCAGCCGTGTTGTGGCGAACGCTCCCTATATCCTAAGGAGAAACTCAGCGGATCAATTAGCCCCTGATGGGTATGTGAGCGCAAATTCAATGAGGAGAGGTCTGGGAGTCAGTTGAGACATATGGGCTTTCACCCCCTTCAACTTTTGATCAGAATTCCTATGGATCATGTCGACCTTTCGTGAAACGGGGGGCTTTGACATCCTAAACAGGGCCTTTGAAGCCCCCACAAAAAAAAAATGGCGGGCAGTTCTGGGGTTTGAACCAAGATTGCATCTACCATAGGCCAGGGTTTTACTTTGGATCATGACCCCTCCAATGCAGACCATCCAATGGTGAGCCCCATTTTTGAGGGCCCAAAGACAGTCGAGTCGGACCCTTAGGGTAGACGATGCACAATCGTTTTCCCTGGTTAACATAAAAGGGCAATTGGATCCTACGAGAAATGAGAAAAGGTCAACAACTGTTTGGGTCCCGTTCGGGGGTCTTCGCCTTCCGGACCCGCAGTTTGTGTATAGAAGGGATGGGAATCAAACACCGAACGGTATCAAGGCATATTGCACATGGCGAGGTCCGTTAGAACCTCCGGTGGTACCGTGATTTTTTGGACTTGGCAAACATGTTTCAAAGTAGTTAGCGCAATTCCATCTCTTTTTGGTTTAGTCATCCTTCTTACTTACCCACAAGAGAATTGTGCCATCTGCTTTTATCCTGTTTCCTTCCCAGGGTGAATTGCCCTTCCACAGGGCGATGTTCAAAGATCTTCACCTGCATCGCACAAGACTTGGCCATCCTTTTTGAGAGTTGGAATCACCTCAATAGTGGCAGGTGGACCTGGTTGTCCCCATCTAAATGATGTCCATCATTTCGGGTTCAAGACGCAGCAAAGCTAGCACCCACTTGACCGCGCAGGACATCAACTTGCAGACACGAGCGTAGCAACAACAGAACAGCATGGCGACCCTTGTTCCCCCTTCCACCGGCTTCCAAGGCGTGACAATCAATGGCAATGGCCATCCCCCCCCCCCCCCGTCACGAGCGGAATCCTCAATGTCAGCCACACGCCCTTCTGACCTATTCCCCCTAATCGTTTGTTGGTAGTGTTCAAACCTAGGTTTCCCATGGCACATCCTGTTTGTTGTTTTTGTTTTCCTCTTTTTCTGGTTGACAAATGGGGGGCTTTGGGAGTCGCGAGGCCGGATCCGCGGCAAGTTCCAGCGCTTGGACAATGCCCGGCAGCCGCAGCCGGAGAAAGCGGCGCCTCCGCGGGCCTTCGGCAAGGACGGCCGCAACCAAGAAGAGGGGCTTGAACAAATACGAGTTCACTGGATTTACCTGGAAACCCAAGTCAAAAGGGTATTCTGGATTTGAACAAAAAAGGCTTGGCCAAATCAAAAGTTGATATCAGCTTTCTGGTTTACCTGGACACGATCCCCACTTTTGGAGGTTCCAAAGAGGGAAATGGAGGAAACCCCTGGATTTTGGTGATATGAAGACCATTTGGTGGTGAAGACCATTGTAGTGGTAAATGTATTTTTTGGCCAACCCACTCAGGAAGTGAGTTATGCATCATCTCACTCGCCCGAAGCGAATCGACCTGTTGATCTTTTAGTTTCCCCTCCTTGGTACATTTTCAGTCAAGGTCACAGAAGGTTAACCTTTTAGATCCTTTGGGCAAGTGAGTTGGCGTCTTCATTTTTCTAAAGGGGACGCCTACCAGCCCCCCTCCCCCGCCCTCCGCAACGACTGCTTGGGTGTTGCACCAACTTAGCAGGCTATATAGCTGGGGTAACAAGGGTTAGTCCCCTTCCATCCTTAGGCGCGACCTACTTACTAGGCGGGTGTGAACACCTAGGTAAGGAACCCTGCAACGTCTCTATCGGGGAAGTACGGCAACCAGCAAAAAAAAAAACAAGAGCTCACTCGCGCAGGCGAAGCGGAAGGAGGACTGGCGCTTCAACAGCGAAGATTTCGAGCCCCTGAGACTGCTCTGGCAGCAGTTCCTTGGCCATTCATCAGTCCCGACTTTTTAGCATCACCTGTTGGGGCCATAAGTGAGTTTCCTTTTGGTAGCCCAACGCGGGCTACCCTGTGAAGCTTAAACATGACCAATTGTGGCCGATTGTCTTGGACTGATAGGGCGTTCGGACTGGACCAAAACCCGAGGAAACCATTTTGGTTCTTTGGAACAGCCTACAGGTTGAATGGGAGCACCCCGTTTTGCTCATGCTGGGTGCATGTGTCTATTGGTGTTTCTTTAAGGTCGGGGCCCCCAAAGTTTCGGTCTTCCTTGTCGCATTTCTTGCCACCAAGAAAGGGAACCTCAAGACAACGTGTCGCAGTTGAGCTGATCAAATTTGAGCTTTCCGATGAACCTGAGGATTTCTGGGGCTCAGATTGTGGAATTCTTGTAAACCGTGGCGCAAATTCACAACAAGCAAACCGGCTTTCATGAGGATACGAAAAAGGCAGGGTGCTTGAAGTAGTAGGTGCTTGAAGTAGTAGATCGAAAGCTAAGAAAACCCATGGATGCAACAAGCATAGTCTCAGCATGTTACAAGCCCCAGTGTTGCCATTCTGTTGTCCTTTTTTGGTTTCCTAGCCTATTCTTGGCCCATTTTCAAAGGTCGAAAAGGTTGACCCTTGATTTCTAGGTCCTTTGGGCAGGTTCTCATACGAGCCGGGACCTGGCTTGCAGCCGGGCTTGTGAGTACTTGGTTTAATGCCAGTTCTCCCAGTTATACTCACCGGTTGATGTCTAGACATGTTGAGTTGTGTTGTTGTGTCTCACGCATGGTGCTATGAATTTCGATAGGGAACTCTCCAATGGTTGGTGGACATATGCCCCCATGTAAACGATGTCCACTAAAGGGTCCAACCACTTAACATTCACAGCCATATAAGCCTTTGTACTCAGGTGCAAGGGAAACAGGGGGAATATGGTCGAACACATATATATATATATATATATGTTGCTTTTCTGGAAACAACTCAGGGGGGTCAATAGAAAATCACTGAACCTCCAGTCAGACCAATCCCAAACGTCACCCTTTTTCGGAAGCGTGGTTCGAGGTCCATTTGTTTCTCAACCACTGCCTAGTAATAGAGGGCTGATCCGGGTTTAGTGGGGATTCATCACTTCAAAATAGACACCTAATGATAGTGGGCTACCCACCTAGTGGGTAATCCTCTTAACAATCATAGAAGTGGTCAACAGGCCTCTCCGAAAAAGAGAAAAGAGAAAACAACCAAACAAAAACAGTCGTCTTCCAAAACCCCACCGGTCGTCAGCTATGATTGGAGGCATGGTGCCCGAGGTACATCCAGGACCTGCAGCCGGAGGTCGCGAGCCTCGCCAGCGTGGACTTGCACGGCAGCCACGTCTCCGTGATCTCCGCCAAGTCCCCGGGCCTGGCGCGCCGCTCGAGCTCCGAAGAAGCCGAAGTCGGGAGTCCGGGAGAAGCTGACCGAGGGGAAGCACACATCCAAGAGTGGGTGTAACGAGAATCCCCTACGTGGCTTCCGTTTGTTTATTGCAACCCCAACAAGAACAACAATTTTCTGTTGGGTTTAACTTTCCCTGAACTTTCCCTTCTTGATCAAGTGCCAAACAAGTGCTCTTGAAAGCAGAAGCGCCACCATATTCTTCCCGTAAAGATCACCTTGGCCCCTTCACATGTTTTTTAGGTAACCCGGCCGAAGGAGGGACATTGGTTGACACAGGGGAAACGGAAGCCTTTGGGGAAAGGGGAAAGAAGCATGAAATATATTGGCTTTGAAGATATACAAAGAAACAAATTGGAGATTAACGCTAAATGTTATATGTCAGGGTCTATGCAACAGAATCGGTTGATATTGTCAGTCCCGAACCCACCTAGATTTGTAGGATACATTTCGGCCGCAGGGTCGGGTTCCCTTTCCCAAAAACATGTAATCGGGGGACGAAATTGGGCGACGACCTGGGGATTTCTTTCACTGCCTACGTGTAAAAATCCTTCGCAACAGCAGGGAAAGGGGTTTGATTTGTCCCAGGAACCATGTTGTCATGAGTCGCTTTCCCCCAACAGCCGAAAGCTATTTCAGAGTGGTTCGGAGCAGCTTTCAGGGAGGGGGTTCTGAGGTTGTTGGGGTACCTGGTCTTCTTTGGAACTTGTATTTGGTCAAAGCCAACCTTCAAGCTTTTAGCTTTCCCTCTTCGGTCCACTTGTAAAGGTGCCAAAACCTTGTGTACAACAACAGTTATTCCATTTTGCTCCCACGTCCTTTGGCCAAGTGAGAAACCATCCTTTCTGGTTGTTTGGGGTGCCGTCCCTGGGCCTGGAAGAAATCCCCGGGCTGGCTGGAAACTGGTGGATTCCCCAGATGCCCTTTCCATCCGCTGACCTAAAAATCGACCCCTAGAAAGGCCCCCTGTTTCAGCTTGGGTGTGCAGAATCCACCTCAGGCAAGTAGGTTGTAGGTTATAACCATGGTTCTAAGGAGGGAATTGGCTGGTCTCAAAATGGGTATGTATCAAATCGTTTTCTGGAACCCAACTGGGGATGCAACCAAAACTGATTGGTTTCCACTATTCTTTGAAGCCCACCAAGACACCGTTCTAGCCAGCTTGGAAGCTTCTGCAACGTTGCAAGGATTTCCCAACTGTTTCATTCGGCGGTGGCATGTTGCATGCAAATTTAAAAGTTTGCTGGTTGCTTCTTTTGGGGGAGTCGGTGGGTGGGTTGAACTAGACATCAACGGGAATCGCCCACGTTTGGTGCGATTCCCCCCTTTCAACTGCAAACTGTGTCTAAAAATATGTTGTGCCAGTCAAATAACTCATATCTCAGCGACGCCTGCAGAAACAAACACACACACACACATGATGGGGGCAGTTGCGCGCTTGTTCAGCCCTCAAGGTTCTAATGCGTCCTTTTGGTCGTACCCCTTGGGCCTAAGAGGGGCTGAAATGGGTGTTTTTTCTACGGCAGAAAATTAACAGTCTTCTGTGTATGACTCTCGAACCCTCTATGTACATACTTGTAATACCCACTGCTTCAAGGGTATATGCTGAAAAACACGGTTTTCCATCGCGAGTTCCTCGTTTCTTGTCAGGGGCTGACATCATGCCCTAAGACAGCCGGATATTTGGAATAGGGGTACCTCAGCTCTAGGCCTCGCAGGGACCGTCATCGAGGAGACTCAGAGGACGGTGACATCGCCAATTCTGACTGGGTGTCCTTTGGGTTTCCCTTAAAAACCAGGGACCCCCCCCCCCTGCCAGCCCCTTTTTGTGGGCCGAGTTCAATTTGACGAGCTGCGGGTCTTGGCACGTTTTGGACTGTCCAAACCCTGTGTCCAGCAAGCAGTCGTGGGGTGCTGGAGTACATATGTGTTTTGTCAAGCCCAAATATCACCGAGCTCAGGCGAGTCCCCTCAGCTGGTCTCGGGCCTTTCAAGCCAACCTCCCAAGCCCCAAAAAAGGGACCCTGAAAAGCACAAAACTTCACAGGAAACCCCGACACGGGCGGTTTGCCCTGCAAGGACATTGAGAATCATCACGCCGGACAGCCAGGTCAAGATCTTGCCCAAGGATAGCTGCGTTTTCGAGGTGGGAGGGAAGTTTGGCTAGCATCTTGTTTAATTCCTTCACTGCCTGTCACTGCCTGCTATTCCAACAACCCCCGCTTTCTGGAAAAGCAGATGTCAACCCAAACTAAGAAGGGTGGTCATTGCCTTGAGCACATTGAACAAGCCAGTCCCTTTTTTCAATCAAACAGATCGCATCCCAAAGTGGGCAAATTAAGCTAGGTGGATAAGTTAACTGAAACGAAACAGAGGACCCGAAGGGGTGATGGACCTCCAGAGGATAAGCCCCGGCCTGGGTTTAATCAAAGGAAGTGAAGGAACAAGGTAGATCTCATGATCTCATGCGTGCTCACTGTATTGCTTATGCTATCTGAGAGCAATCGCACGGTTGTCAGAATATGTAGAAGGCGTCTTAGAGTGATATTTGGACGATCCAAAACAAATTTGGGCCCTTCCAAGGGGGAAAGGGACCTTTGGAAAGTTTTGAACCTAAGCGGTGCAGGATAGTGATGGCTCATTTGGGGCGGAGGGCTTGAAGGGAAACCAAAGGAAAATGCATTTTTATCCTTGGGTGGTTTGGGGTAGTGGACACCAGCTTAAAATGGTGAAACGAAATATACAAAGGTGAGCATCAAGGACCCTCCAAGGCCAGGACCTCGATTGAGCGGCTTTGGGCGATTGGATCACGTTTTTGAGGGAAGATGAGGGAAGGCAGCCTCAAATCAACCAACACATCAACCAACAAATCAACCAAGACACCAACCAAGACACCAACCCAGACACCAACCAAGACACCAACCAAGACAACAACCAAGACACCAACCAAGACACCAACCCAGACACCAACCAAGACACCAACCAAGACACCAACCAAGACACCAACCAAGACACCAACCCAGACACCAACCAAGACACCAACCAAGACACCAACCCAGACACCAACCAAGACACCAACCAAGACAACAACCAAGACACCAACCAAGACACCCACCCAGACACCAACCAAGACACAACCAAGACACCAACCAAGACACCAACCAACCAAGACACCAACCCAGACACCAACCAAGACACCAACCAAGACACCAACCCAGACACCAACCAAGACACCAACCAAGACACCAACCAAGACACCAACCAACCAAGACACCAACCCAGACACCAACCAAGACACCAACCAAGACACCAACCAACACACCAACCACGACACCAACCAAGACACCAACCCAGACACCAACCAAGACACCAACCAACAAATTAATCAAGACACCAGCAAACCATAGAAACGACGCTTCATTTCAAGCCGAGGTGGAGATCCTCGACCGGCGCGTGCGCTTCCTGGGCCCGAGCCGAAGCGGCGGCAGCGGCAGCAGCGGAAGCGGCCGCTCTCGAGCCTGGCGGCTGTGAGCCAAGACGCGGCATTTGCTCGAAATGGAGCGGACCCATGTGGGGGGGGGGGATTTATGGAAAGTCACCTCAACAGTTGGTGATTTGTCTCTTTCTGGAATTCTAGGCAGAAACCAAAGGTGGCAAATTCGAAAAGTTGCACTCTCCAAGCATCATTCCTCCCTTCCAGGTATTTGCAATGAGACACCGTCGCGAGTCACGGCGTTTCGGCCGCGAGCGAGATGTTTTCAGAGGGCGAAAAGCACGTGAGCTGCCTGGGGCCTGTGAACACCTCCCTTTTCGTTGGCCAATCCGCTTCCGGAAGTGAGCCTTCACTGGTGTTTCAATGGCTTTGCAGGTTCTGTTGAGGCTTCAGACGCCCTGCATGCCATGGTCCAACACCGGCAGTTGGTGTGATGATGTCCCTTTTAGAATGGTGCTGTATGGTGTTTGGATGGACTCCAGGGATTGTCTTATTTTTGTTTAGGGAGCCCCTTTTTTGTTGGTTTCAAAAGGCAAACCGCAGGGAAACTCAGAGACTTGTTTTTTGGGGGGAGAGGTCCCTCAAAAAAAGACGCACCCAAAAGGTTTCCATCCAAAATCTGAGCCACACGCAGGGCTGCCAAACGAAGTTTCTCTTTGAGCCAATGGTCAGACCTCAGAGTCGCTGCCAGTGGAGTGTTGAAATTCACGGAGTACCTTGCTTTTTAGTTTGGTGTACTTGTACCCATAGCGACCAACTCCTTCTTCGGGCCCTTGAGGGCCCAAAAACAGTTGGGACCCTTAGGGTAGTATTTGAAGCGTGCCCTCTACGAGGTTGGCGTAAACATCTCCGGCAAAGGGACAGAGCACGTGGACATGCCCAAACGAATGGTGCCCTCTAGGCCCAAATGTGTGGGGATGTGTTTGTTTTGTGACCTTTTGGTTCAGGTTTAGTCCAACGAGGGTGGGTCAAAAAAGACTTGACCCGCAAATTGTGTGGGTTCCTTATCCGGGCGGGAGCCAGGAGCATCCCCCTTTTGTTTTTTGTCCGTAACCGGGAAGTTGGTAGGCGGGGGTTATGCTCGATTTCAACTTCCAAGTTCGCATTCCAACGACGCGAACAGAACGAAGCGGTTGTTTTTTGTCAGATTGAATCTAGGGTTCCCAGCTGGGTCTTAGATAAAGTGCGTTTCCTGTTCGCAAAACATGGCGAAGCGGAGTTTTGTGCACCCCAGAGTTGGCTCTGCTGGAATTGAATGTCGCATTGGGGTTGCCAAAGGTTGTTTCGCATGTGGGGTAGGCTACAATATGAAGCACCCTTTTGAAGAACGGTTAGGTCGAGACCAGCGATGCCAGGTATCGCGTGCAGGCTGCGAAGAAGAAGCAGAGGGATGGGCCGCTCAACGCTCAGGCGAACTTCGCTGTGATCTGTCGTGTTGGTTTCGAGGGTATGTCATGCGGATGTGGGGGGAGTCCCCAATTTAATCATTTCCTATAGGGGAGCCGCCCCTGAGTGGTACAGTCCTCAAGTCCTCTGGATTGATGGAACGTTTGCTGTTTGGTGTGTTTTTGGGCAGTCTCCTGAGGAGTTGGCGCATTCATGTCTTTGGGGCTGTCTTTCGGCATTTGGGTGTGTCTTTCGAAATGCGCGTTAAGGGATGCTAGGCTGCGTATCATAGCTTCGCGGCCCCTTTCGTTTTGCGGGGAGGGTTTCATTTAAAACACATCTTGCTTGGGTAATTTCGAGGATGTTGTTTTGACCATTGTGAAGCTAGAAGCAACTCAAAAAGGATGGTTTTGCTTTGGTTTCCTCGTGTCGAGTTGCTGGTTCAGGGTTGCATACATGGGTTTCTCCCTTTCTGTTTTGTTTGGCCAAGCCAGACCTGCGTCGTGCTTTTCTCTCTTTTAGGTGAAGGATTGCAGAAAACAAAGAAACCAAAGGACCAACAAGTACCAGCGCGACACAGTGCAACACGTGGCGCATGGGTTCCCAATGCCGAGCGCAGGACTACTATCGAACCTTGCTTGCAGCGTCAAGAGCCAGGACCGACGAGGCGGCCGCGAAGGACGGGGAGCTGAGATGTTTCAGGTCGCCCAAGAGTCCAAGAGGGCCAGGGTCAGCTTGTTAGCCACTTCTGTTGCATCCCCCGTAGATTTCGGTAAGCATCACCCCGCCAAGGGGAAACTCCGCTAGACTTTGCTGGACTCGGCAAGCAAGAAGTGAGTTTATGTTGAAATGCAGAAACCACTACATGTAAATGAATCACCAGGGGGTCCCCAAGATAAGCATAAAACCGACAAATACAGTATCAAAACAAACTCCGGAAGTTTGAGTTTCTGTTGGCGTGCCTTCCATCTGAAAAGAAAGGTCAAACCAGAGTCTTGAAACTACCTCACTTAGGAAGTAGTAGATGTTCAAACCCACTCAAGCAGATGTAGATCAAGGGGATGTCAATAACTCCAGTTACCCCACTTATATCCATTAGCACCTACTTGGCCCCCTGAAAGAGGTCCGTCGACAGGACGCGCTGCGCTCGCCCAAAGCAAAAGTCCCACCCCCATTGGCCCATTGTCCCTTGTAGTAGATGGTTCTACTATTCTATGGGGTTTAGCGTAAGACCTATATAGACCTGTGTAACCATGAGGATAGAATCAAAGTACATCGGTTTTGGTCGCTATGGGGAGGTCGCCAAAGGCAGGGTCCTTCCCACGCCGCCCATCCGGTTTTGGTCGGACAGTCGTCTTCGAGGGGGGGGGGGGCAGTTCCTGCAACAAATACGGGGCACTCACGACTCACCTTTGTGTTGGTAGGTTTCCCGTGTAAAGGCTGTGTTGCATGGCAGAACCCCATTTTCCCGAGCCAGCCCCTGACCAAAAGGAGGGTTTTAATTACCATAACAAACCTGGGTCTTCAAAATGTACCAAGAAAGAAAAGTGTGTTCTTGGAGGGGGCACTTGCTATTTACCCTGCTCCTTTTCAGTGGAAACGCGTCCGCGTCGAGTTGACCTGTTCCGCTCAGGACCGGCATCAGATCGAAACGGCGAGCCCGCCGCGGTTTTGTTTCGAGCACCGGCAGCCCGCCATCCATCCTTTGCACTCGTCTGCCTATCTGTTCTGGCGATTCCATTGATTTGGGCGAACACAAGCAAATATCAGTGCCATCTCTCCAGTGTTTGAGTACCCCCCCCGAGCCTAGACACAGACACCAAGGTAGGATGTTCCCAAAAGTGACCAATTCCTAGGTGCAAGTCTTGGGGCAAACACAAAATGTACTGGCCAGGCTGGCCAGCCACACTCAAAACGCAGAATACACAAAAAGGTGGATGTAAAAAGGGTAACACTGGGGGTCTGGGTTAAACGCTTTTGGCTGGTTTTTTGTCTCATCATTGTTTGTACCCTGCCGACCGCGCTTCCCGGTTTCAGCACAGCTAGCACCCCTGTTAACCTGTTAAGGAGGCATCGCTGAAGTTATGAGATGCTTCTTTTACCCTTTTGTGACCTTGAAACCAAGACAAGCAAACCGGAGTTGCGTCCCCTGTCTCCCTCCTTAAGCATCGGAACCCCCATTTAAGGGCGGACCTTCCAAGGTGCTGAACCTCAAGGGCGTGTTTCAGGGCCCGTTTGATGCGGGCTCAAGCAATGTTCTGAACCGAGCCAGGATCTGCCCCGCACCTTTGCGCCCTTGCCCTTGAGACGACTGGAGTTGAAGGCAGGAGCTACTAAGATCCCGGTTTTTGAGGGATGTGTATACATATGTGTATATATAGCATGTAATTGAAGAACCTACATGTTTGTTGGTTAAGTGTGATTATTACTATTCTGGGGAGACCCTTTCTATCCCAGGTGGCACGTACCGGCACCGAAACAGGTCCGTGGGTTGCCATCTGTTGGGCAGCGGAGTGATGCCCCTCAATGGTTTTAAAGGAACACCAAAGGCGAATTCGAATCCAACTTGGGTCCGATTCCGAAAGACGGGCCATGTGGAGCCCACAATTCTACTGGTTGATTCCAACCATTCTTTTCAACCATCCTTCCTTTCCAAAACCGGATCTGTTTCGCCTGGGCTTTTGGTTTCCTGAAAAGAAAAACGGATCCCTGGGCTCAGAATGGAAATGGAAGGTAGCCCGAATACTGGTTCAGAGCCATAGCAACAGACTCATGCAGCTATTTGTGGGTCAAACATATGAGATACCCCCAACATGCGCCCCCGGTTCGGTTCGGCTAGCGGCTAGGCCCAGCTGACTCAGAGCCTGCGGCGCGTGCTCCTCGCCTATATCGAGCGAGGCGCTTCAACGCGCGAGTCGATGCACGAGCTGCTGAGCGGGTGGAAAAGGCGAAGTGGCAATCCCAAGCAAAAGGTGGGAGATGTATCAGAGGAAACTTATGCAGCAAAAAGAACAACTCAAGTATCAAACCAACATAGTATGCATCAAAGATGGGTATTGCCACTGCGAAGCAAGAAAGAAAGAAAGAAAGAAAGCAAGGACGGAAGGGAGGACATCCTGCTATCAAACAAGTACTTGTTGGGCAGGATTTTGCTACCACACAGTAAACTGCTTGGAAGGCGCAAGATCAAACAGCACATATCAGGCATCGAACAAACACTCAGGTAGGTTTAGCATGCGTTTTGGTTGGGGTGGGTTTGGGTGGATCTCACCCTAAACCCATCCTAAACCCTCCCTAAGCGTACCTTCACCCACCCCCCCAATCCAACCCACCGAAAACCCACCCCAAACAAGCTCTAAACAAGCTCTAAACAAGCTCTGAACAAACTCTAAAGCACCAACCCTAGCCATGAGCGTTTTGGATGGCGTTTTTGCCAGGTTTTGCAGCGAAATGGGGCCCTTTCTATTTTTGATGCTCAATAAGCTGTTTCTGGATTTTGGAAAAATAAGTTTGTTGTTGAATGCCTCACCCTAAGAAGGTGGTAGATGTCCGCCCTCTTGATTCTTCACGTAATTTGGGTAGACCACTTCAAGACCAGGTTTTGATTATGACTCAGGCGAGGCGACGTTCCCTGAAGCTTTTGGCGGGGTTTGCCTGGGCTTCAGTAGGTCATTCGCTGCATGGATTCACAGTCCCTCTGCTTGTAGGTTCCATGTGATCCTCCCCTCTGGGAAATCCTAACGCACTGAAATTCCCTGAGAAACCTACAAAAACACGGGTTATGGGCTCTCCCGGTTGCTGAGGGATGACGCAGTTACCTCCATAGCTTTATAGTACTATAGCTCCCTTTTTTACGGGCGATTCTACCGATCGGGGTAAGAGGAGCTTGCCTGACGTAGGTCCTTGAGTGGAGGTCCGATTCTTATTTCAGGGTTCGGACATGTTTTAAGCTCACATCAGATGATCCCGATTTCACCCTTAGCCTTCTCATGGGGAAACCTTGGTTCCCTGCTATATCTTACCATAGCGACCAAACACTTCCATGTGGGGGTTGACATTATGTCTCACTGTTTTGAAACCAGTGCCCTCATACAGGGTTGTGCCAACCAGGGTATGAATGTGAAGCCTGCGTGCGTCCCCTTCAGCAACGACTTGTTCCCCAAGGGATCAAACCGCGGGTCTTGTGGGGGCCGTGGCTTTGGCCGGCTGAAGTTTCCGCCAGCAAGGGAAAGAACCACCCTTGGCTTCAAGTCTGCCTCGGTGAAGTAAAGAAAGGGAACGTCTGTGCATCTTCAAGGCACTCGAAAATTATCGGTTGCTAAAATCCACATGTTGTTCTCTTCGATTTCAAGGCGTGCGCCAGAGGGTCCCCAATCAAGATGTTCGAATGCAGAGCTATCTTCAAATGCACACTTGTTTCACGTTTGAACAAATAACGGTTGGAGGGTTCTGGATCAGCTCCTCTGTGGACATGTCTTGAACGCGAACAACGGGCCAGGCCGGTCCTTGAACGCGGCCACCAAGGCCGGCCACGGACGCATGTGGAGCATCTCCCCCCATCACTTCCCCCCCCCCCGATCAAGGAGTTAGACGGGTTGAATTGGGGGATGCAGCTCAGTACAAGTTGTAGGAGAGCCTTGTGGTTGAACCAGTCTCTCAAAATGAACCTTTGTGGCCATGTTAGCAGACCGCAAAGTCACGCCCGTGAAACTGGCGCTCTGCCTGAGTTGACCCACCCGTGTGGGGCTTTTCAAGGGGAAGCAGGAAGCCGGGCTTTTGTGAGGTTTGCGATTTTGAGGAAGCAGCATGTTCTTGCCTGGCATGGCAAAGTTACACCTTTTGTTGGCAGGCTTCTTCATCATCATTGTTTCCCTTTATCGTGATGCCCCGTTTTACTCATAAATATCGGCTCCCAAAGAGGGGAACCCTTCCTTACCTTGGACATCCACCGGAGCCCTGAGTGTCTCTCAAAATGATTCAAGAGAAACCAACAACTTCAGGGGGCACTTGCCGCTGGTTCCCTTTCGGGATCCGGCGAGACCTGGCCTTCTGATTGTTTCTCACGTTTGGGGGTGTCTCTTTTAGGGGACCCACTAAAATGGCTTCGGGTTTCCCCGTGGTTTCCCTTTAAACCGACAAACAAGGTACCCTCAAAACAGAACACCGCTGTCTCTTTTGGAGGGGTCAGAAGGTTTTGGGCATGACTTCGATGGAGCATGGAGCATGGAGTTCGTAAAGGGATCCTAGGCCTTCCCTCAAGGACTTGACCTCTTGTCTGTGGTTACCTCACTTCCTGAGCTCATGGACTTTCAATGCAAACAATCAGCTTGGACTTTGTTGGGCCATCCACTCAGGAAGTGAGTTACTGGTGTTAATCCCAGATTGTTAAACCAGGACGACAAGGGGTGTTTCCCTGTCAAAGTAGCCTATGGACCTCCAACAACAATCAAGCGGCTTACCAACTTATTTGACGACGACCGATACGGGGGCAAAACGAGCGAAGCCCGTTATGGACCTTGAGCTAAAGGGCCCAACTCTTATTTCAGGTTTTGGAATTGGCACACTTTGCAGCAGATGAAGGGGGGAGGGGGTCGCTTCAGGCCGCGGCTTTCACGAATTCGAGGATCCAAGTAGGACCGTTCAATAGTTTGAATGGGTGGGGCACTTTGAGCGAGCCAAATACCGAAGACGTTTGGTGGGGAACCCCCTCAAAAGTGGTTGGACATCAATCTTCAGCAAAATGATGTTTTCAAAGAGTCCCCAATTAAATGTTTGATCGAAGAACTCACTTCCCGAGTTCCTGGAAGTTTATACGTACATGTGGAGACCTTCCTTTTTTAGTGCAAAGAAGCAGTTGGCGCCTTTGGCCAATTCTGCCCCTGATGTTAGTTGGGCCCTGCCACTTCCTGTGAGCCAAGTTGGCATCCTCTTATAAAGCTGTGGGGCTAGGAGCCCCACCTTGGGTCCCTCTGCGGCCAAGTGTTTGGAGTTCCCTCATAAGGGGTATGTTTCAAGCGCGGCTTTTCCTCTCCTTTTTGGAAAGATATCAGTGGTCAAGCAGTTTGGCAACACTTTTCGGCCCATCATGAACATATTGGTAAACAAATAGATGGCGATTCCTGGTTGGCCTGGTTTCATAATCTACCAGGGCCATCCAATTCCCAAAAAGGACACCTATGATCATTGCTCGGTTTCCGTAAAATCGGCTCCCTCAGAAGCTGGGGCTCGCGGCGTGGTCCGGCGCGGCGACCACCTCGAGGCACGAGCCGCTCGCAGGACTGTACGCCCGGCCTTAAGGTTCAACCCCCATGAAAAGAGTGGTTCAAGGGACTGAATTTGGATGAAGCTCTTTAAGCAAACAATGGTGGTTTTGTGAACCTTATGTTGGATCCCAGGATGCAGTTTTTTCATAATCCCGCCCCATGGGGATGACAAAACAATTTCCGAGCCAGGGCCCAAAAAAGGAAGCTCTCGTTGCGTTTGCTTTGGCTCAGTGGAAAACCAGGCTGCGAGTGGCCCATTCCTTTTTAAAAGGGGTTGACTAAGCTCCAGCCTACGAACAGTTGCCACATTTGGGGTCTTTGCCTACAGGTTCACTTCGGAGAAGCTCCAAGGGTTTCAGGTCTGCGGATGCCACAGGGGCATGTTGCTGGTTTACAGGGAGTGGGAGGAAACCAAAACGGGCCTGCGGCAAAAAGATGAGTGAATTCTGGCACTGCACCTCACAATGCCCTCTATTTCTGAAGAACTGGAGATTCCGTAGTAAATATACGACATCATGTGACATCATACCTTTAAACAATGGGTATTGGGAACAGGAGGTATGATGGTTCCACCAGGGCAAAAGAATGTGTGAACACGCCCCTCATTCCCAATGGGAACCCCAAACGATAGCAAAAATGGTTCAAACATGTCTTAACAAGGGGTTGGAACCCTTTCCACCCAAGCCAATAGCCACATGAAGTATTTCCCTGGAACCGCAAGTGAAGTCTAAGTGCAGCTGTTCTTGTGGTGTTAACTCCTGACTTAAAACCCTCAACACAAAACACATCCAAGTGCCTGCTGAGATACTGGATTCAATAGGGCACTACTCTTGCAAACTGAGACTACCTCCCCAGACAGGTAAGCTCTGGGAACCATTTCATCAGGGCTGCGAAGGCTCCTTTTGAAACCAGATGATGCAGCAAGTGCTTAGTAAACATGGTTCCAACTTAAGTGCTGTGGATGGACAAAATCCAGCAGTTGGGATGGACGCGGCCCTCTGAATGTTGGAGTGGACCACCAACCAACTGCAGGATTTAGTCCACAGGTAATATCCAGGGCAAACAACTTGCTAAATATCACAGGGATTGGGGGGCCAGGAGGCGGGAGGGAGCCCAAGCTAGCGCTTGTGAAGCTCTTAATACCCCCCTGCCCCTCCCTTCCCCCCGGAGGCCCAGGTGAAAATGTCCTGCCGCCTTGCCACCTCTCGGCTTCCGTCTCCACGGCCCAAAGGCAAGCCGAAGGCCTCAGCTCGATGACACGCCACACGAGGCTTAAAGGATACACCCGAAATTCACCTAGCCATACCCTGAGAGCTTTGAGATGTTTCGAGTCGGCAAAGACGCTCCATATCCCATCCCACAAGGTTAACATTGTACCGCAGAACATCCACCAGCATCATACCAAGCACAAACAAGGGTGCCATGTGTCATGTCACATATATGCATATATATATATATATATCCATATTATGCACACCTCCAGAATCACAGCACAAAAGAAACAAAGGTACTATGCCCACAGGGAAGGACAGCGACACAGGGCTTTAGACTTCCGTTGCGATGTTGCCGCCCCTGGCAGCTGTGAGCCGCGGCGACCTGGAAGCAGAGGGAAGCCTTGGGTCGGTTCAGCTCGGGGGTGTCCTGGTGTCCGCAAGTCGGGTACCTCATGGGCGGCAAATCGCATGCATGTTTTCCATACCTCCAAACCAGGTTACCCACCAAGTCAGGGTAAATTGGAGGGGATGGGAGGGTGTGAAGAAACCACTGTCGGGTAAGCAGGTTATAACCAGGCCAAGGGGACTAACCCTATTTGCCCCCATTGTTTCCATCATGATAACCTACTGTTTCAGCTTGACTTGATTTAAGGGCTGTGACCCTGTGCCCTGAGTGGGTTTGACCCTCAGTTCTCGGCTGCCAACAAAGAAGCAATGTTTTGAGTTTCACGGCAAGAGCTGAGTGGCATTCTTGTGGAAATACGATGTAAATAACGAGCAAACTTCCAAGGGTTGCCGGTATGGCCATGTTGTTCGGTCATTTCCGTATACGACACGTATGAAACCGGTGTGTTTGTTTCAAAAAACATGCCGAAAAGAAACGTGCCCGTTTTTGTTCGACCAACGGCGCGTGGCAAAAAAAGCAAACGGACGGCGTGGCTCCAATCATTTACTGCGCTGCTGTACCAGTCCAGCTAGTCCAACAAGTTCCTTTCGTGGGGGTTCAACCAATGTCTAGTGAGTATATATATATATATGGTAAGCTTAAGTATAACTGGGGTAATTGTTTTTGATTCCTCGTAAGCTTGGCTGCGACCTACTTACGCGAGTTGGTTTCAGCCAAGTTGCCACACCTGATCTCTCTCGAATGCCCGACCCGGCTTTGCGAAAAAGAATGCGGCTTCCTGTTAGAAGGGTACCCACCCCCCGTCGACCAGGTGCACCCCAAGTGGTTTAAGCGCCCGAGGCCAGGCGCCGAAGCCGCCAGCTCCGGCGAAGGTGACGCCGAAGCTCTCGGAGAAGGCCGCGAACTTCAAGGCGCGTTCCATCACCGGTCTCCCGGACTTCGGAATTTTGGGGCGGGTGGGTGGGAGGTTTCGCCGTACCCAACCCTGGGTCTTGGGTGGTTCTTGCACTTTGATGTGACTGCAACAAGTCATTGGCTAAGGGATGGACCTTCGGGGGGGGGTGTCAAGCAGATTATAGTAGCTGATAACTTAGATACCCAGGCCAGGGTAGGGGCACTTTTCTCAGTACTTTCCTCAGCTGCCC